AAACAGAGTATCCGGGCATTGCCAAACGAACTAGACGGCCAAGACCCTTTGGTGGTCCTTGGAGCGCCAAGCAACAGCTATACTCATTACATTTCGACACAAGAGGAATATAAGTCAGTACTTCGCCTTAGGCCGCTTTCTGTAAACCCTGCTGACCATGCATAGCATTCAACGCTACGAAGGTGCCTCTACACTCTATGGACCACATACACTTGATGCGTACATAGAGCGCACAGTTGCGTCGATAAAATATCTCCGATCCAACAGTTCAAGTCGTGAGCACCGCGCAAAGAACAAATACCCACCAGACAATAGCGGACGGTCTATCAGCTTCATAATTGGTGTTCTCTTCGATAGGACACCATGGCCCAAGAATTTTGGAGACGTAGTAAATAATGTTGCCAATTCTAGGTACAGAAGGGGCGAGAAAGTCTCGGCGTCCTTCGTCGGAGCCAATCCTCGCAACAATCTGCGCCTTGAACAGACATATGCTGCGGTTGAGTATCGTCCATCAGCAAATTCGCCATGGCAACAAGTTCGAGATGACTCGGACTGGGGACTCAGCTTCTATTGGCGACGGACGAGCAAGATACTCGGCTTAAGCGAAGTTGACATCAAATGGGAAATTGAAAATGATGCCCCTGTAGGGGAATACAGACTACGATACTATGGTGATTCGAAATCGATACGAGGGAAGTTGTCAGCGATTGAAGGAGTGAGCTCTGCATTTAGCGTTGTGTAACAGCATAATATCCTGTGTAGCGGAGACGGAGTTTGGGTCGTCATATTTATGCATTTTTTCCTTGACATATGCAATATGTAACAAGCTTATCTATGCATTCAAGAATGGCGCTGGGAGCATATGCCATGGCCTGCATGCTAAATGGTAGACTACATATACTTGATTGGCTATCGTTTAAAGAAGAAATATAAGAATAATTCATCAATTCAAACACTTGACTCGGGTATTCAGTCAGATATGGGTTCTAGCTGGGTATTAATTCCCGGGCACACACGCCACTGGGGCTGAACCGAAGCTATGTGATTTCTCCCGCACAAGGGCAGCGGGGAATGGACCAATTTAACACTGATTGCAGTTCTCTGAGCAATCCGGACCCTTGACGATCAATAGACCGTCCTTCTCTTGCGACTTCACCTACACAAGTCCCTGGGCGCCCAACTTGGTTAGAGGTGTACGAAAGACTCGCTGATTGCATACGGAATTCTGATTGGAAGGGTCAACTAGTTGCATACCTGGTCATATGAAAGGCAATTACTTACCTAGGTACTCTGTATGGAGTCTGGCATGTTCGTTGCGGTCCTGCAGGTCTCACCTTCCCGTTTTAAATGCTCGCATACGGAGTAAGGTGCTCGAGCACTTGCTCGAGCAACTACCTAGGTAAATAGGTAGATTGGTTGCCCCCTCTCCTCCCACATGCAACTTCTAGCCAATTTAAGCTACCATCTCCCGCACTCGCCTCTTTGTGCAAGGTTCGTCTGCTTAATCTACCAAGTGTTTAAGCTGGACCAAGGGGCGGGCGACAAAGCGAGGAACTAACAGACGTCACGACATTACACACAGGGAACCATGAGGCACCTGTTGTGGCTCGCGCCCCTCGTGGCGCAAGCTTTGGCGATGGCGTCCGCGACACTTAGAGGTGGCCGCGACGTCATGGACGCGCCGAATCAGAAGGGGTTGCTGGATTCGAGAGCGGCCGCTGGATATCCTGATGAGCCATTGCAGTGTTTTGAAGTGACGAATCCCGTCTTGTCTTCTGATGGTATTGTTGATGGTAATGAAATTCTGGATAGCTATCCTGGAAGTGTGCCACCCAAGGCGTGCAAGATCCAGTTGATGGATCACGTTTTTGGGAATAGTTATGGGCAGCCATTTGTTTGTAAGTAGAAGACGCCCGTGATCAGTCCAGTCTTGGTATTCTGATAAATTGGGGTTTGCCTTCACACCAAATGAATACCGGCTGACTTTGTCCCTACTATGTCCAGCCGACTATACGCCGCCTGACGAGACAAAATGTCCCTTTAATAGGGTCATTATGAACTTTACCGTCGTTTCAGAGGGACATCAATTTGATCGTTTGGCCATCATGTGGCTGGGCGATACGGAAGTCTGGCGAACTTCGACCGCAGAGCCCAAAGCTCACCCAGGGATCTCATGGACGTATTGGAAAGACATGACGACATACCTCTCAATATGGAAACGTCCTCAGAAGCTCATATTTGATCTTGGTAATCTTATTAATAGCAACTATACGGGCTCTTTCAACACCACGCTTACAGCCACATTTATACAAGACCAAAACTTGACTGGGCCTGCTGCGCCGCCAGCTGATGAAATTGTGCCTTTTTCAGCTGGGAACGGAGCCTCTGGAAAAGGAAGTGCATTCACTTACCCTGATGAAAAGGCAGAAAAGTCAATCACACTGCCCCGAAACATAAAGCGTGCTGTCTTGTCGATTGCGGCCACTGGCCAATCTGATGAGGAGTTTTGGTGGATAAATGTTCCTGAGGATGCGATCAACAACTGGGAAGGAATGACGCTGCTCGGCAAAAGTTCGTTCCGCGAGGTTCGACTGCGAATTGATGGCCAACTTGCGGGCTTGTCGTGGCCGTATCCAGTCGTCTTTACAGGAGGCATCTCACCTCCTTTACACAGACCCGTGGTTGGGCCGCAGGCTTTCGACCTAAGGGAGCAAGAAATCGACATTACGCCTTGGCTTGGTGTTTTGTGCAACGGAAAAGACCATACGTTTGGCTTGGAGGTGGTTGGTGCAGATGACGCTGTGGTAAACAGATACTGGCTACTTTCTGGCAAAATCTTTCTCTGGCTCGACAAAAAGGATGCCATCACCTCGGGATGCCCGCCAAAAGTGATTGTAAGCAAGTCCAACTACAATCCACACGAATTGGCCGTCCATAATAAGTCTCTTCGGTATGATCAAACGATTTCTCGCACCCTGCAAATCAAGTCCAAGATTAAGCATACCGGCGGCAAAACATTCGATTCCGCCTGGTCTCAGCGCTTCGCCATGCAAAACACGGGCTATATGCTAGAAGCCGGCAATGTTCAACAAGTTAATGCATCGTACGAGGGAGAGGACAGAGCAACGAAAGACTCGGCCTCGTACTACTACGCTGGCTATTCTTACCCAATGCAAGTACGCCTTGTCCAAACAGCACCCGATGACAACTATACCTACACCTTAGACACCAACCTCACTCAAATAATGCAACTTGCCGTCACAGGCAACACAGTCTTCTCCAATGGTTTAGAGCCTTTTCTTGCCCGGATCACCGGCCGAGTATCCGGGTCCGTAATTCAGACGACCAAAAAGGGCAGAGCCTTCTTTTTTAAGAAGAAAGATGGCGGATCCAGTGGTTTTGGAAGCACACGCCAGACTTATAGCTTTGGTGCCAAGACCCTTGCAAACGGGGATGGTATAGGCTTCGCGGATGCTCAGAGTTTGTACTCGCGGGAGGTGATGGTGAATAACGAGACAACGACGTTGGATAACGTGTGGGTATTTGGGAAGGACCTACCAAAAACCAAACCACAGGGACCGCCACAGCAACCAATTGAGAGTAATGAATATGCTGCCAGGTTAATTGGAGGGAAGAGGCCAGGTACGAAGATTGGTATTCAGTGGGCGAAGGAGGCAGTTCTCCATGGTAATGAAAAGGACTAAAGAATGTACATAGATGGTGAAACGGTGTGACAAGTTGGTTAATGTGAGCGACTAACATCTTTAAGCCAGTTCCAGTTGCTATTGATCCAATGTGTAAGTCAACTAGAGCCTGTTGACTTAGTGATTGGTTGTCTACCTATAGGTACTTAAGTAGGTAAGGCCCCCCACATACCAAAACATGGGTATAAAGTTCCTGAGTTGTCGTCTTCAGAATTGCTGGCCAGCCATGTGGAAATTTGACCGGTTGGCCAAACAAAGTCTAATCTCCATCACCATCACCCAGTTGCCCATTGAGAAAAGTGCTTCGCAATAGGTGAACAAAGAGAAGAAAACAAAGTGCCAGGAACCAAGATGCCGAGGAACCAGGGATGGCGTCCGGTTAGTGGTGAGGACGCCACTATGATGATGTGGCGCCGTTGCAGCCACTTTGAACTCGGACATACAGTGGGGAGTACTTTTAAACAGGAACACACTCCATATTAGTACAATGAAGACCCAAGTACCAGTTTTCAGGTACAGAGTATATGATAACTCGTACATTCTACAAGGGAAAAACACGCGAGATTCAACTCCTAGGCAAGTGCTCCCCACATCGGTTGACCACAGTGTGGTGGTTTCTGAGGTTTTTTGCTCAGCCTCTGCTCCTATCCGCTTTCCCCGAACCCCCTATTGTTCCTCCCTCACATCATGGTGTTGCCTTTGTTAAGCCATCTTTGCTCGGCATCTGTATTCTTCGTGGCCTCCCATAAAGGCCGGCAGTTCGACACGGAGGCTGGCACCTCGTGCGGCGTTTGAGGGATCTGTACCGTTGGCACAGCTCCAATCGAACGCCGCTTGTTGGGCTTACCTCGACCCGAGATTTGATCAGCCCTGTGTTGCTGCCTATGCCGCCCGTTTTCGATCCATGATAGTTTGAAACTTTTCTTCCGGCTCTTCAGGATGGCTGCGAGTTTAGGCTTGCGCCGTCTCGGGCTCTGGGCATCTAACCCGACGAGGTTGCGCAGCCGCATGACAGCCCTGTCTCTATGCCTCGTCATCCTATTAATTTGCCCATTGGTACAGTTATACGGCGTCAGCGAAGCCAATTTTTATACCCGATACTGGCCAGTGCATTCTTTGCTAGTCGCCAAGGCTGGCCATCCTCAATCAACTATCAATTCGCCATGCCGAGACTTTCCCAGCGCTGAGGGAATTGTCGTGTCTTTGAAAACGAGGGCCGGGAATGCCTATTCAAGGCTTCCTCTGCACTTTTTGACTCATTTACAATGCCTACCCGATATTTTGGTCTTTTCAGACATGGTGAGTATACTTTGCCTATCTGGCTGTTGGATGAATACACACTACATGCGGGCGCGTATTATGTCTGATGCGTGTTGTGCAGGAACAAGACATTGCTGGTCATCGGGCTCATGATGTGCTTGACCGCGTCGAAAATTATGTCAAGATGCAACATAAAGAATTTCGCTTCTATAAAGACCAAATGGGCTGCTCTGGTCCTCAGGAACAGTGTCAGGACGACCCCATTATGGCGGCAGAGCTGGAAAAGTACATGACCATCAACAGTGTTGCTCGAGCGTGGGAACTTCGACCCGGGCGCGATTGGTATGTCTTCATCGAGGATGACACCTATGTCATCTGGCCCAACCTGATTCACTGGCTGCGCAAAAAGGCACGTCGAAATCGGGACCCGTTTGTGGGAAGTGCCGTCATGCTCAACGGTTATGCCTTTGCGCACGGCAGTAGTGGGTTCGTTCTCTCTGGGCGCTTAATTCGCCGTTGGATGGAGAAATTTCCAGACGTAGCCGAAACGTACGACAAGTTGGCTCACGAAATTCAATATGGCGGCTTGGCCCTTGCAAAAGCCCTGGAAGTGGCCAACGTTGGGGTCAAACAAGCGCACCCAATGTTCAATGGAGAGAATCCAACCACTGCGCCGTTTGGTCATAACCATTGGTGCCAGCCCGTTTTTACTATGGCAACGATGACTTCCCAGAAGATCAGCGATTTGTGGGAATATGAAAAGTCAAGAAACGACTCTGTATGTTGCATCTCACACGGAGTGGCATTCCGCAGAAGCTAATCACTTGATCAGAGCCTCATCCAATACAGACATCTCTATCACCAATTTTTTGAACCATACATGGCCTATTACCGCAAAAACTGGGACAATCTCTCCAGTGGTACCTGCTACATTGGTCCCGATGACCAAGACCGAGTCTCCGATTGGATTAAAAGCCAGCAAAAACCAGAATCGGAAAAAAACATTGTCGAAAAGTACGCCCACAGATCAGCAGCAGCTTGCGCCAAAGTCTGCGAAGCTGAGGGCCTAGATATCGCTGACTCTGACTTCTCGTCACTTCTGACCGAGACGTCACGAGGCAAGTTTGTCCGCGCCAAGTACGAGGAGAAGGCCCAGCGGAACACCTTGTTCAAGTTGAATAGGAGGTGTTTTCAGTGGAAATACGACAACGGCGTGTGCTTTACGTCTCCGACTTTTACTCTAGGAGGGCCTATACAAGAAGCAGAAGAAGGGAAAGACGGGGAGGTAGTGACGAGCGGTTGGTTCGTCAAGGGTATTGCCGACTGGGTTGATGCCATGGGGAACTGTGCGCTGGACTGGATAGAACCAGTTACTCCTCACTAGAGTGAGAACAAGAAGTATCCATCGAGGTTGTACCTGGCGTTGGATTGCTTCATTTTCCATTCTCTTTGTGTTTAGGTTTGGGGCAAAGAATGTATATAATAGCATACCTGGAACTACGTTCTGGTTGGCGTTGGGGTGCGTGCATTATTTACCATATTACAAAAGGAAATGAGGCAGGATGGTCTTAATAATGGTTACATGATGTGCATTATCCAAGTGGACACGCAAACAAGAGGAAACTCATGTGATACTTCACGACTGGTGAAGGAGCCCCGTCCAACATGAACCCTAACCCACCCGAAGCGCGACTTCTCCCGCACCAGTTTGAAACAGCATTCAATCGCACATGGCGGACCGGGCCGAGGTAGCCCAAAGGAGGTGGAACATATTGTAGAAAGCAGCATGCATACATGTTTCCATTATTTAGGCCCGTATCTGCCACGTTGTCTGCTTGTCTCTCGGCTTTGCTGAGGATGCAGCTATTCCACTCCTACATTGGCCCCCTATTCCTTGCCGCTACATCACATTGACATTATATATCACTTTGAATTGTTCACTTTGCCCTTTCATGGTACGAACAACCGTGTATACTTGTCTCTTGTCTATTATCAGAGTATGAATATTATTTGCACATGTCTCCCTCCCGTCACGCGCTACCGCCGTCTTCACCATTCGCTTTGCCGGATATCCTAGTTGAAACAATACGCTGCCGCCGTTGATGATGCAAACACGCTCACAACATCGCTATTCAATAACTCGCTCCCGAAATCGCACCAGCCAGAGGCCTCGTATATGCCGACCCAATTCGTTCCTCAAAATAGCACCTCAACATGAACAATATAACAAGAAAATTTACAGCTTCCTTGCTCCGTGACGACCGCACCGATGTGGATTCTTGGGCGAGCTCATGTAGCAGTACGCCTTGGCAGCCTCGTCCGCCGGCCGGCCATACATCTTTCGAATTTCGCAATACTCGTACTCACTGCCCATCCAGTCCTTGAGATGGCGGTGGAGTTCGCACCGGGAGATGCCGCATTTTCGGCAGTACACTTGGCCCTTGACACGGAGGCTCTCGAGCGCTGTGGGCGAAGGATCCGGGTCACTGGTTTCTCTGCGAACAGGGGGGCCAGCACCTCGCCAGGCCCATTCCATGTCGTTTGGTCCAGAGTACCGGCTTGAGAGGGGAACCCTGCCGTTCTTGCGAAGGTGGAAAGAGTATAGTCGTGAATGGGCAAGTCCCAGGCAGGCGCCGTCGATAGGGTCCAAGAAGTCGAACAGAGCATAGTGCAGTTCAGAGGGGAGATCGAGCAGATTCATATTTGCTGAAAGCCGAGGCTGATGACTGGGTTCTGGTTCCTTATCTGTCACGGACTGTGACCGGCGCGGAGGGGGCATTTTCGGTCGACGGGGCAGTTGAACCATGGGGCCAACGGTTGAAGATGCTGAAGAAAAGGTCGAGGACGCGGGTGAATCAGGCCGGACAATGGATGACTGCAAAACTGCATTTTCGGGAATAGGTGCGTGGCGACTGACTTGGGAGATGTAGTGAGGATGGTAATGAGGCATGGACTGGTGCTGGTCACCTTGGTAGTCGGTCAGGGACCATCCTCTCCGCGGTGCTCTCATCATGCTGCGCTTCATGCTTGTTTCCTTCATTCGCTGGGCATGTTCTTCCCGTGACATGGTTCCGGCTTCGTCGTTCACAGCACTGGGACCTGCGACTCCATCTGTTTGTTCATGGGCGGAGGCGCCGCCGCCGTTGGACGAAACGGCGGGGTCAACGAGGAGTCGAACCATTGCGAGCGGCAATGTCGTTGTATCAGGTACTTCGATATGCAAAGTCCGACTTGGATATTTCAATGACACAACCGGCGCAGCATAGGCCGTTGCGGCTCGTATCTCGTTTTCGCTTCGACTACGAGCGGTACGGCCGTTGGTGGCGTGACCAGTCTAACGGGCGAGGCAAAGGAGGGCGTTGAGTGTCCCTTGACACGAAAGTTTTGGCTGCCGAGAGGGTGAAAGTATAATTGGTAATTTGGTAGCCACGATAGTCGTTGTTTGGAGGTTGATCAGTCAATATCGCAGTAGAGGCATGGACATGGAGGACATCAACACTACTCCAGCTGCAAGGAGGGCCACGAGGACTTTATTTCAACGCCTTCGGACCGGGGGTGTAATCAAGGACACAGGCGGTCGGTCGGTCTCGGCGATGGGTGGTGTGCTTGAGTCTGGCATTATGGAGCCGCGGTGCCCACATCGTCCACATCGTGGGAACTCCTAGGAAATTTTCCCCTGGCCTGACCGAGCCACCCAGACAACTCGGCGAAAGCCCATGGCCATGTGCCACTTTTGCTCCCGGCGTCGTCGTTCAGTTGTGATATACTCCTAGTAGTGAGCTTGTTTAAGCGCAACTGAGAGGTCTGTCTATTTTGAGCTGCCCATAAGGCGGAGCTCAGAGAAAGAAGAGGCTCAAGCCTCCTGAGTACGCAGTGTGTACAGAGGTGCCTCGGCCAACTGATCATTCGAGGCCGCGAAGCCCCCCAACTTTCAATTCTTGAACAGGAACCAGACGAGGATTCCCTCACGAAGACTCTTCAGGCGCACGCCTAGACAGCCGTCGGCGGCTCTTCGACCAAAAACTGGATCAGCATGCGAGAAGGTGAAGAGCAGGAGCCGTTCGCATGATCGCACTTCTATAATTGGTTGCGTCTCGCTGTCCGGGCGTGCTGGAACAATGGAACTTGTGGGGTCTTCGAAATGTCTTACTCGTGGTGTCCTGTGGCTACAATAGAGCGAGTTCAGCCATTGCCTTTCCATCTTGCCCCCAGAGCTCTCTCTCTCGGGGTACGGAGTACAGCCTGTGGAAATGATTAATTAATTGACTTTTCCCTTCCCCAGATGAACGCACTTCACGTCACTGCGGAGTCATTCGCCTCCCATACCCCACGACAGAATACTACCACGATACTTTGGCTGTTTCCCAAACTTGCATCGCCCAACGTTAAAGATATTGAGGCTCTGAAGAGGGATGTGGCGAGTATTGCGTGTGTGGCTGTTTGATCGGCAGGCACGGGACCAGAGGGCTTTCCCGGATGAATAATCCGTACGATAAAGGCATGCAGAGAACTGTCGACTCTGCAGCAAAAAGAAAGTGGCAACACGCGGGTTCCCTTGCAAGGGCAAGCCGACATCAAGCTTTACCATTTCGCCATGTTTTTCTATGCAGCGAGCGATGCGGTGTACCGGAGGGGTTCCTAGTGGTGTGGTGTGCGGCGTTGCGTGCTTGATGCCAACACTGGCAATGCAACTGGAATTTGTTCGGTGGTCCGACTCTGTGGCGTCAAAATCCGATTCAACCGACACTAAGAGTACCATGGATCCATGTCCGCAGAGAGTTGCAGCTCAACGGCCTGCATGGCTGCATGGGCCGGCTCGATCATCTAGAGCAACGAAGGGACGCAAATCTTGCCGTCAAAGGCGGACTTGACGACGCAAACAAAGGTGAGTGTTGAATTCAGGCGCCCTTCTCCGTGTGTATTCCCGCAACTGATGTTTGTTGAAGGCCTCGTCAGCCAACGAGGCGGCTCCGATGGCGGCCAACGGGGTCGTTGTCCCCATGATGCTCCACAAGCCGTCCACAAGCCGCTGGGGCCACGGCCCTGACGTGGGCCAGAAGGGCCCCTACGTCTGCAGAGGAGCATCATTGCGGAGCATTATCAGTGAGCTGCGACAATGACAGCACCGGTCGTAGGGCCCTTGGCGGAGTGTCGAAAAGACCCTAGTGGCAAAGTCAGTTGCGAAAACAAGGGTGCATATTTGGCAAGAAAATCGATCTTGATGCAAAGAAGAAGGGCCTTGTGAGGAGGCGACAATGTTGTCAGTGGAATGGGCCATAGAGGGAAGGAAGGGTCCAGCTGCCTTGCCCAAGGGCAAGAACGACCAGCCCGAAATATCGAATGAGCTCTTCAATGTTCCCTCCATATTCACTGCCCTGCAACAGACTGCATTGACTGACTCAACATGGCATTGTCTGCTTACAGATGCCAAAAGAGATCACCCAACACTACTACTACATACCACCTTGATATACTAGCTGCAGCCGCGGATTGGCTTCCAGATCCCGTATGCAAGCCTTCGTGTATCCGTGAGCTTCGCAAGCGCCAACCAAATTTGCCAACCAATCCCTGTCCGTTCACCTGCTCTCTCATTAAGTCGGTGAGGAGACATCATGCCACATCATCTGTTGGAAGGAATTTGTGACGATCTGCTGGGAGATGCCACCCGCAGGGTCTATCGATTGCACGCCACCTACAACTCGACATGTTGTAGCTGTGGTCGGCCCATGCAAGCCTTGGTTCTAGAAAAAGTCGGCACTCGGTGAACCGTGGCTGTGTTATTAGCCGCCGACTGCTGGGCTTTTGGGCCGGGTCTCTTCCAAGTAATGTTGCAATGGCACGTTTCCCAAATTCACTCGCTGCAGCTTACGAAATACGAAACTGACGTCGACTCAATTGATTTCCTTTTATGACAAACAACCAGCAATTGACACGCATGGTCAAGTAGACTCGTAGTGGCATGGACATAGCTCCTCGGATAATTTACCACGAGTTGGTTTGTAAGGATGCTAAGAAGGGGCTAATAGATGCAGCCTAATCAACGCCCGGGGAAATTAAGAACATCAATAGTTTCTGCAGTGGTGATATTGATAGTTGAAAGCTACAAGAAGTATATTTGCATTGAGGTACTACTTGCGGTACGGGAAACAACTTGACAATCAACACTTATTCAGTCCGCTCCTGGTTGCAGTCGCAAAGGGAACGTGTGCCATTGACAATGCAATGAGATCACTAAGGACCTGATGAAAGAATTAAAAATATGCCTTCTGCTCCCCAAAAAAGCACCATATCTCAAAAAATTATCAATTGTCGTGGCAATTCTGTCGAGAACACTTTACGATGTCAATATGGTTGTCAAATTTCTTCTTATCCACAAATGCTACC